TAATATATATATTGTAAATATTCCAGTAACTGAATGTGCCGATTAAATAATTAATAATATATTTGCAATACCGTATATTGTATAATATTTGTTGTGAATTAATTGACGATTAATAAACAACTTAACAAAGAAAAAGATATAACATAATTTATTAGAAAATATTGCTATATAATAATTATATCAATTATATTATGTTATAAATTTATATACGACAATATCATTAAGAAATATAAAAAAGATATAAATAGCAGTGAAGCAATATAAATACGAGCTATTATTTCATTGCAATAATTTGAATTATTTTAATTTTATATATATTTTACGAGAAATTTGATTATTCGGATACTATGCAGAATAAATCAAATTTTCTATAACATATCTATTCTTTGATTTTCTCATATTTATTCTTAGTTTTTAATTAAATAAACAAATTTATAAGAAATTTTTACAAATTAATTTATGTCTATAATCAATGTTAATACTATTATTCTTTTATTTAAAACAAATGCTCTCTCTGAATGGTTAGACTATTTATGGTGTAATATTTATTTTAGTTTTCATCTGCAGCTGTATGACGTCTCATATATTGATTTTTACCTCGTTCAATTAGCATTATTTAATTTTATTTTTGTAATTTGTCAATTAATAAAAATAATTATATAACTGATAATGACAATAATAATAACTACACTATAATAATAATGCTCAAAATATTCCATATTTAATTAGTTTAATTTAAAAAATTGTATCAATTTTTATTTTTGATTTTTTATTGGCTTTATTTCTAATCTTCTTATCTTTATAATAAATACTTTCTATTAATGAAATTAAATTCTCTAATATAATATAATATATATCTGTTTAAATATATTTTCACAATAAAAATATTTATTATTATTTAATATTAATCGCAATTACTTTAACGATTTGGTTAAATTACTACATTTGAAATTATTACATTCGAAATTACTACATTCGAAATTATCACATCCGTAATTACCCTATTTAAATTCGTAATTATCACATGCAATTCCTACAATAATTTTTAAATCCTCACTATTTCAAAGCCTTTGTATGACTAAGTTTTGCACAAGTAGAACAAACTTGTTTTTTTCTAATCTGTCACAATAGCCAACCTTTAAAATTGTAGAACACCACGTTGGAAAAAAGGGCAACCATATAAACAAACATGACAAAGGATTAAATTTTTAGTTTTTACATTGCCCAGTTAATTGATTCAAAAGTAATTAACCACTGCAATGTAATGACAAATTACAGAATAAATATACACGATAAATTTTTGGTATTTTAAAATGATGAAAAATAAAAATAAATACGCATATTTGTTGATATTTTTATATTGTAAAAAACAACTAAAAAAGTTTCTTACAAAAATTATCAAACTTTTATGTGATCTTTCATGACTTTTCCAGATCATTAGATTGGACGAATCTCTTGGCCACACATTTCTCCGATATTACTCCTTTGCATTTTTTCTTAAAGGTATATTGGAGATCTAAATTCGACCGAATTTTCGGTTTCAATTATGGTTAGTTTCGGCCAAAATTCAGAATTTTTGACAGACTCTAAACACATAAATTATAAAGCATTGCTTTATAATATATATATTATTTTATAATATTGTATTTATAAAAATTGAAAAACACTTCAATTAATTTTTTTTTATTAACGTATATAAATTATTACATATTCCATTAGTCTATATAGTGAACGTAATTATATAATGGTCCTGATATCCATTAATTCAACATAAATTATTCTAGTACGATTCTTGTTTGATAAAATTTTCAATATTTTTGGTTAAAGCGACATATATAATTTATGTTGAGTTAATGGATATCAAAATCATTATATAATTATGTTTATTATAGGCTTATGGAATAATTTATACACGTTAATAATATGTAAAATTTACTGAAGAGAACCATTGAAAAAAGGTCGAAACGTTTGAAATATAAGAAATATTGCTTATATAAAAATTAATAAAACAATTATACATCATTATCTTGCTAAGCTCAAAAAGCCCTTATTGTATATTAATTGAATTTTATTCATATTAAGCGGTAATATATATTTTTTTACATTTTGAATAACACTATATTAAATCCCGATGAAAATAAAAATTAAAATCGAATGTAATAGGAGAATAACAGAAGCGTAAACTTCTAGGCGAAAATTGGAACAATGAAATGTAAAAGAAGCATTCACGATATTCTCTGAACATCCCCTGGAAGTCTTATTGTTAGAGACGTAGACTATATTCCAAAATTGACTGCCTGTACTGAAAATCTATAGTGCACGTAACGTAAATTACAGCTTTTCAGCGTTGCCAGTATTATTACTCTCCAAATAGGACTAGGACATGGCCGCTCTCAGGCTTCTCTCTGATAGAACACAACTGTAGTCATAAATTGATAGAAACGCTGAAAGCGTTTAAATCGCATCCTAAAGCCAGCATCACATGATAGATGTAGTGCAATTCTAGTAATATGCAAGTATCACAACCGATCCAGCATGAAAACATGCATCATGTGTTACTGGCTTAACATTCAATTTTCTTATTTGCCAGTCATCAGCCAGTCATTGCCAGCAATTGTTAAACTGTCAGTCTATATCATATGTGAGTGTTTGTAAAGATTTGATAAGATTTATAGTTACATATAATAAAATCGTGTGTAAAATTGTACGTGAAAAAGAATCAAAGAATTGAAAATAAATTTTGTATTGAAATCAATCTTTGCTGACAAGTGCTGCTTCGAATATGGTTTATGTAACGGACGGTAATATACTGTGATTTCATTTTTTATGTATCAAAAATCATGGATTTTTTGTACATAGTAATTTGTTTATAGATGGTGACGTGGTAAAATCTGCTCCATGGGGATTAAGAAGAATTTTCGGATTCTTTACAGGAGTAATTTATATGATTATCATGTTGTAAGTGCTATAATCATCATAATGCTATATAAATTATGACTTTTTGATTAATTAGTAGATTAATTAGCTGTATTATTCTTTCTTCTTTACTCACGTAATATTGGAAATATTTAGCTTTCAGACATTGATCAATCCTGGTATGAATAGATCAGGAAGTCAATATTCAAGGGATTATCGTCCAGGTTCTGGGTATGATAATTTCTTTAAATATTTACATCAAACGATAAATATATAAGATAATAACTTGCACAATTTACTATATATAGACCACGTCCTCCAACACGTAGACTTGGTAGACCAAACACAGGAAACAATGTTGACATTCCATTTTTCGGAGGTTGTAGCAGTTGCGCAAGATAAAAAAAGTTAAAATAAAAAGTATTTTGTTATATTTACAAGAAAAACTAATTAGTTTAATTATGATTGAGATATGTATAATTATATTTGTTCATTTATTCAGTATTTGTTATTAAAAAGTAGTGTATATTAATATATTTAATGTATTGAAAATTATTATAATTATTATAACTCTCATTAAAAGAATTTTTGGAACTTATAAAGTA